GGGGGGGGGGGGGGGGGGGGGGGGGGGGGGGGGGGGGGGGGGGGGGGGGGGGGGGGGGGGGGGGGGGGTGGGGAAAGATGAGGGAGCAGGAGAAGACAAGGGGATGAAGGGAAAGACAAGGGGGTGGGGCAAATAGGGGGGGACACGAGGGGGAGGAGGAAATATGTGTGGGCTGGGAGCAAAAACGGGGGTGGAGGAAGGGTAAGAAGGCAGAGAGAAATATGAGGGGGTGGAGTGAAAGGTGCAGGTGCGACGGAGGACGAGACGGGGGAGAAAAGGGGGGGGGCTTGAGACCTGAGGCTGCAGATGCTGATGTAAGACTGAACGTAGTTAAATTGCACTGAAGCAAACTGAACATGTGAGATACAGGCCTGACACTCAGAAATTCTGCTGGGAGAGGGGAGTGGTCACTGGAAGAGCCCCCCGTAATCTGGGGATGAGAGCCTCGGTTTACAGGACTCCTGGAGGAGCTCACCCCCGGACGTGGTTATCACCTCCTCCTGCAACGGACAGACAGAAAGGGAGGGTCAAACTGGCCTTCCTCACTCATGCCGTAATGATGCTGCAATTGCAGGGGCCGTGTGCGGCAGCGTCTGCGGGGCAGCGTGTGCGCGGCAGCGTCTGCGGGGCAGCGTGTGCGCGGCAGCGTCTGCGCGGCAGCGTGTGTGCGGCCACGCACCTTGTGGAAGGCGACGAGGTCGGCCAGCGTGGCGTGCCGGCTCTGGTCCACTCCCAGGAAGCTGTAGCAGTCCCCAGAGGCGTCGATGAGGAAGTGCTTGAAGGCGGACGCAGTGCGGTACGACAGCGTGTAGCCCCAGATCCGCTCGCTGACGCGCACCAGGAAGCTGCCCTCAGGGCAGCGCATCAGCAGCGATTCCGAATCCTGCCGGCTGATGATGCCTGCGGGGGGCGCCGGATGGACAGTCCCAAGGTAAACGTCAAGAAACAGGGCGACAGGACCTTCTAGAAGAAGCAACTGAACTGGGAGAGGGAAACAAACACTGGGACTCTCCCAGCCCTGCCTGTCCCGCTGATGCCTTTTAATTAGTCCCTGTCCATCCTGCGATAGAGCCAGCTATGCTGGAGCGTTTCACAGCCTTCCTGACTCATGGAGTATTAATATCGAGCTGGAAGCGAGTTAGAGAACGGCCCGTTTGGCCAGCCTGCCTGAAGGGAAGGATTTCTTTTTTTATTATTGTCCTCATCATCATCATTAATACATCTGGTGGTGAGGCAGGCAGCAGAGCAGAGACAGCCAGGGCCTGTGACAGTGTGTATCCTGCGGGAGGCGCTGCGTCTGCATCGCTCCAGCACAACATCCAGCTGTATAAATGGGTAAATGATTCTACACCTTGCTTTTAATAAAACGTGTCGACATAGCGACTAGTCATTAAGCGAGTGTGAAGGCAGGACAGCAGGGAAGCTGGGGAACAGTGCTGCAGCATCGTGATAAATGTCTCTCACCATGAAACCAGGGGGCTATGGTGGTGCTGTTCCTCTCGAACCCGGCTCGTTTGGGCCTCTGCTCCTCTGTGAACCAGCGCAGGATAGATTCACGGCAGTTGGGCCGAGGGGGGCGCACCCAGGCAGGGCTTGGGGGCGTAACAGACATGTTGTAAAAGATGGATGGATGCCTATCAGTGAGCATACCTGACCTATGACGTGACACACTGCCCGTCCTTATCTATTACTGAGGGTGAATCTGTCTTTATCTCTCTTTACTTGTGTGTTGTGTACTTGTCTGTTACTGTACTATATTGTTTTGTAACTGACATTGTCACTACCTGTCACTATCACTCCATGTTTGTCACTATCTGCACCTGTCTGTCACTCTCTGTACCTCTCTGGCTCTGTACTATATTGATCTGTAACTGGCATTGTCAGTACCTGTGTGTCTCTCTCTGTACCTGCCTGTCTCTCTCTGTACCTGTCTGTCTCTCTGTACCTGTCTGTCACTCTGTGTCTCTCTCTGTACCTGCCTGTCTCTCTCTGTACCTGCCTGTCTCTTTCTGTAACTGTCTGTCACTCTCTGTACCCATCTGTCCCTCTCTGTACCCGTCTGTCCCTCTCTGTACCTGTCTGTCACTCTCTGTACCCGTCTCTTCCCTCTCTGTACCCGTCTGTCCCTCTCTGTACCCGTCTGTCCCTCTCTGTACCCGTCTGTCCCTCTCTGTACCTGTCTGTTAGCATCTGCACTGTGGAGGCGCTGTGCCTGCGATTCTGTCTTCGGCGATGCACAGGTGGAGCCGTCGCCGCACCGTGGGAGGTGTTACTGGTCTCTGGGGGTGGGGCTGCGGCTGGGGACTCCACAGGTGTGCTGTGCCTGCGGTTCTGGCCCGACCCATTCAGGTGGGTCTTCTGGAAGAGGCCGCTGAGCCCGGCCACCAGGCCCTTCTCAATAGCCCGCAGGGACTGACGCTTGTACTCGTCCCGGGCCCTCCGAGCCTTGCGGGTCATCTCCTCATCAGCAGCTTTGGAGCGGCGCACTGAGTGGCGTGTCAAAGAGTGCCCAGGTCAAAGGGCACGAGGCCAGGGCTGCGGGAATTGTGAGGTGACTCTGGCTAGCAGCCACACGCCTCCCTGGGCCACAACCCCCCCCCCCCCCCCCCCACACACTCACGCTGCTCCTGCCACTCCTTGTCATCCCTCTCGCTCCTTTTTTCCTCCTGCTTCAGGGAGATGTACAGCTCCTTCGCCCTCCTCTTCTCTGTGCGCCGTATCTCCTCTTCCCCACGCTGGCGCTCCTCTTCCTCGCATTTCTGCGGGAGAGGTGTGCTTCATCACGCACACGCATGTCACGCTTTGCAAAACACCTCATACTTAAATAGGCAAACACTTCACTGTACTTAGATGCACAGGCAGTCATGCATGCAGGAGGACACACTCTCACACACTCTCCCCTGTCACACATACACACACACTCTCCTCTTACATACACACTCCTCTCACTCTCTCTCCTCTATTTCATATGCTCACACACACACACTCTCTTCTCTTACACACACTCCTCTCTCACACTCTCTCTCTCTCCTGTCATATACTCTCTCATACACTCTCACACACCCCTATTGAGGATATTTTTAACAATAGCACCCTTTGTGCAGCCTGTCCATTACAGAGTGCCTCTTGCGCTTAGCCAGCCGTGAAGGCATGTAAACAATGGTGTCGCCTTTCCGCCAAGCTGCCCCAGCTGTGCTCCGCAGCGTCAATAATTTACTTGTGGATTATGAGCCACTCGGGAGCTCTGAGCACTAATCATTCACCCTAAACGAGCAGAGACCTGGCCAGCCGCACGCTAACGGGCACAGCCGCTGCTGACTGGGTCCCCTTGGCCCCGGGACACTGTCATGGCAGGCAGTGTCCGAAGAGTCGGATCCCGTAAAAAACATGCTGTTCGGGCGGCTTTCAGTATGGCCATGATGTTGCTGGGAGAGTGGTAAATACATCAGCATGTTAGCATGGGGATGCGCTAGCTGGCACTGGGGCTTTGTTAATGCAGTTAAGAAACTGCAAATGCTGCTGCCATGTTAGTATTGGGGTGTGGTAAATGCAGTTACAGTATTAATATTGATATATTGTAAATTGTTACAATGTTAGGGACATTGAAAATGCAGTTTCTGTATTAGCATTAAGTTGGTGTGGTGAAGTGATTAGTCATTGTTGACACACCACAGCATACAGTGCATAATCACAAAATGTGTCCTCTGCATTTAACCAACATGTGACAACAGGGGGCAGCTAATTCAGTGCCGGGGAGCAGGTCTTGGGGGGGGGGTTACCTTGCTCAGGGTACCTCAGTGGTATCTTGCTGTTTGGGGATTCAAACCAGCAACCTTTTGATTACAAGTGTACTTTCCTAACTATTAGGGCACCACTGCTCCAGCAGGACATTACAGATGCAGTTTCTGTTTTAGCAATTGGACATTGTAAATGCAGTGACCTTGTTAAGATTGGGACGTTGTAAATGTCTTTATAGTGTAAGCATTGGGACATTGTAAATGCAGTGACCTTGTTAAGATTGGGACGTTGTAAATGTCTTTATAGTGTAAGCATTGGGACATTGTAAATGCAGTGACCTTGTTAAGATTGGGACGTTGTAAATGTCTTTATAGTGTAAGCATTGGGACATTGTAAATGCAGTGACCTTGT